AAGAGCGTGGTCTCGGTTTTGCAACAATGCAAGATATTTTTTGCCATCACGTTATGCAACACGATGCGTAATTTGCTCGTACTTCTCTTATTGTTTGCCCAGGAAAGCTATTAAATGGCCGCAAAATTTCCACGATCTATGCTCGCTACGATCGTGTCGAGATCAAGCTATTTATTATATCTGAGTTGATAATAATGTAGATATTGAATCGGATAATCTATCGACATGTAAGATAAAAATGTTTCCAAAAATTTCATTATAATAGTCAATATCATAAATAATTTACTAAAGTATTTTTACATCGGATGCTTTTCGTTACAATCACACATATATTTACTGTAATGCTTTATCTATTATTTCTTGCAATACAATTTCTCTCATTCAAAACTCTCAATCCTTATATTTTAAAATTAATGTAAACTTGGACAATTGTAAATGATCAACTTTCATATTTTCTCTATGCCATTCTATCTGTCGAGTTTTCCAATCGAATCAACGACTTGAAACATCGAATCAGAAAGTTTGATTCAAAGAATCTCTTTCGAGGCAAACGTCGATCGACTCATCTCGTCTCCGATGACGAGTGTTACGCAGATGTTACACCGCCGGAATGCTACGAAACGTTCGATTAGAGAAGGGGAGTGAGAGGACATAGAGGGACAACAGCAGGTCGGAGGATAGAAGATACAATTGAATGTTGGCGGATCCGTGGGCGGGACGCAGTTCGATTGTTTCTTTATCGCGATCATCCTTGTTCTCTCTCCTGCGACGGCAATAGCGATCTCACCCGGCATAGTATTACCGTAGATTTATATAGGGTGTCCTTTCGATCACATATTTCGCAATAAATTGCGATGTTATGGTATCACAACATAGTTTTAATTTTGATAATTGTTACAAATTTTCGATTAAAATTCTTATAATAATCCAATCGCACGACTAACTGATGACAAAAAAAAAGAGAGGGAGAGATTTTATTTTCCATTTACAAAATCCCGATATTTAATTAGTCATAGTTTCTTGAAGTGCATCAACAGCTTATGTAATTATCATCAAGAGGATTATCATTTTTCTTATTGTCAATTTAGTTACAGTTAGTAAAAAATAATGCTTCGTCACCCATATATAATCCCGTTTAATTATTTAAAGCTTGTTAACGTCTATCCCACAAGATTTTAATTGTGTAATGTATTGTCGGTTCTCAAAGATATAAAGTGCCATTTTTTTCTACTTGTAACTGAAAGCACATCCGGTACACAGTGGTGGGACACCCTGTAGATCACGGCTTTGTCCCCGTTCGAGCTAGTCGATGCTGGTCGATGGTACTCTGGTGGGTGCGCTCAGAATGCGCCTTCTCTGTATGCACGGCATACCATCGGAGAAAAGAAAACCGATCGTTACCTTTGCACAATTGCATCCCGTGCACGCGGAACGTATGCGCGATCGAACAACGAGGGGATCATCGATTCGTCTCGGGCTCGAACTCCCCCATACGCTTTCGATTGTCGGTAGAGACGGAAAGTCTCCTTACTGTCTTGGCAGGTAGAGCCGCAGATTGCACGTTGCAACCCGCATCTACATTTATTTGCGAATAATAAGAAAATCGTCTAAGAATATCTAATTCTCGCGAGTAAACTTTAAAGATACCGTTATTTTTCATTCCATGTAAAATTTGAATTAATTTTTAAATTTTCTATGTAAGTTCAACTGTTACATACTTAATTTTAATTAAAATTTTATCTTATCTTGCATCTAAAATGAATTTGTAAAGACTTTGTAAAAAGCTATAGATATATAGAAATATAAATATATAGATATATAGAGATTTTAGATATATATATAACTGTTGAATAAATCTTTAACAATTGGAGTATATACATTATTTAAATCTTTTCATCATGCAAAATCTCAAGACATTTAACAATCAATAAAGTAAGAATACCAATACATAGCTAACTGTAAACGTTATACGATTTTTCCATTAAAAGTTCGGATTATTCCTACACTTATTGGATAAGTGTAAGAATAAAAAAAGAAAAGAACGAGCGATGCCTGAAATTGCATAACTTACATAATCCCTCTCCCCCAGCTTAATGTTTTCTTCTAGCTTCTAACGGCTAGGATCTTCATCGAAGCTGCAAATCTAAAACGCGACCGACGATAAACACGCCGTGATTGGACGCCTCGGCGTTGCGCCGCGACTCCCCGGACCACGCTCGCGTTCTCCGATTAGGTGAAAAATCCGCGTCGCGCGCGGATAATGCGACGTAGATTCTTATCGATCACATCATTTAGAGGCAAGTGCAAGTAGCGTCCCGCGCGATAAAAATACCCAGTAATGGTATCAAGAAGAAAAGGTCACTCTGGAACCTGGGCGCCCTTTTCTCCGCACGTGTCAAACAAACCGCCGTCGCAAACACCATCGCCTTTAATTCTCGAAAATGCGCCCCGTAAAATCCATTCGCACCCCTGAATCGACCCGTGGGGTCCCCGAGGACGAATGAGGAGGATGAGGGGGAAGGCAAGCTGGCGAAGGGAAATCCTCGTCGCGAAGACTCGCCGCGGCCTTCCACTTCGTCTTCTCTTCATCATTATCATCATCCACTCCTCGTCCTCGACGTCTCACCCCGACGGCTCTTCCGCCGCAGCCGTGTGCGCGATGGGGACTTACGAAATCACGCGTTCGTTCGATTCGTGCCGCTCGCTCGCGCGGAGAGCATCGGCGTTTTTCGCGACGCGCAAAGGTCACCGCAAGCGAGCGCGAGCGAGCTCGGGAAAGAAGACGCGAGTCACCGGCGCGTACTCTTACGAGGGGAGGTCAGCTGAGGTAACCCGGCTTGGCTCTCTTCCCTCTCGCCTCTCACCTTCGCTTCGTTTAATGTTGCAAACGATGCTCGCTTGTCTTCGTTAATATTCCGCGTCGCGTTGCACCGAGATAATCACATGGGGTCTGGAGAACGTCTAATAAGATTTCTGAATTCGGGGCTGATACTATAAATTTTGCCTCAAACAAGGATGCCCTTACTAGAAGATGCGCTATTCGAGAAATTCATTCGAAGAAAATTTCTTAATGTTGGACACATAATTAACATAAATAAGGATATAATTAACGTAAAATTAAGTATGACGGTCCGAGCTATATTAAAGTGTTAAAGATAAGTTTAATTTAATTTACCTTTATACCTTCTTTTTTTTATTGATTTTAATATAGTTGATATATACTACTTATATTATCTTATTACGTTTGACTAACTTATTATCTTTGTAATTTTTTTAGGACAAATTGAATCCGCTGTTATATTTAAATATTCCGATTGACGAGGATGTACAATTATTGAAATAGGGTTGTTTACCCTATTACATGCTACGAAATTATCGATGATGGACGATGGAACGGATGCAAGAAGATCCACCCGCTAATGTCTGTATTCGCGATTCACGGCGAAGACTCTGAATCAGTATGTTCTTTCGCTGCTTGATAGTTACTTCGATTACATCGCTGTAGGGCAAATAAATTACATTCTCGTAAATCACCGAGGTTGCAATTTCATTCTCCACGTCGAAGAAATTCAGTATAAAAGCTGTACATTACGTTAATTCCATATATACATACATCTCTTTCACAAAATATCAAAGTAATTACTTGTGATTCTTTCTATGTTTTTGCAGTATGTGTGGCTTCTTCTAATTTGAAAGAAGAATTTTGATCATGTTTTCCTTTACGTTTTCTCACATGTGCTTAACGATTTAATTTATCTTTGACACTTTAATACAGCTCAGATTATCACATTTAATTCTACGTTAATTATATCTTTACTTGTATTAATTATGTGTCCAACATTGAGAAATTTTTTTAATAGCCTTAGAATTTTTTTAATAGCCGGATTTGTGGATGTGCGTGACAATTAATGGTCTTAGAATCATGGCATCATTGCATGTGCTGTTATAAGAGACATCTGTCTCTTCTGTTATTTCGCTAAATCGAGAATGCAACCTAATCAGCTGGCGCGGCCAAAACAAAGTCCCCCGAACCTCGCGCGAGCGTGGCTTCATCGAAAGGTTAACGAAGACCGATAGAGAGCCGCGAAACGTTCGACAATCCGCGAGCGAGGCGCGAACACGAGGTATCCACCACCAGGTAACGTCCAGAAGAACGCGTGGTTCGTGATCGTTCTCTCTCCCCGTCGCCCGCCGCACCGCCTCGGCATAGAATAATAATAAATAAAAAAAAAAAAAAAAAAAAAAAAAATAATAAAATATAATAATAAAAATTTCGGTAATTATATTATGGAAATTTGGAAAGATATTATTGCGTTGCTAAAATTATCTGTTATTTGCATGAATTTGTAGAAACGTTGCATAAATAAATATAAAAAGGCAGATATATCTCTGCTATGTTGAGTCAGATTTTATGGAAAAAGAGAAACGTGACGTCAGGTTCTTTCTCTTCTCTTCTTTTTTTACTTTACAATAGACAATTGCGAGTATCTGTAATGTATGCAA